ATGACATCTAACCTTGAAACCATGATGCTGTATGACTGAAATCATGACATCTCACCTTGAAATCATGATGCTGTATGACTGAAATCATGACATCTAACCTTGAAACCACGATGCTGTATGATTGAAATCATGACATAAATCCCTGACACCATGATGCTGTATGATTGAAATCATGACATCTAACCTTGAAATCATGATGCTGTATGATTGAAATCATGACATCTATCCCTGACACCATGATGCTGTATGATTGAAATCATGACATCTATCCCTGACACCATAATGCTGTATGACTGAAATCATGACATCAAACCTTGAAACCATGATGCTGTATGATTGAAATCATGACATCTATCCCTGACACCATGATGCTGTATGATTGAAATCATGACATCTATCCTTGAAACCATGATGCTGTATGATTTAAATCATGACATCTAAACTTGAAACCATGATGCTGGTTGACTGAAATCATGACATCTATCCCTGACACCACGATGCTGTATGATTGAAATTATGACATCTATCCTTGAAACCATGATGTTGTATGATTGAAATCATGACATCTAACCCTGAAACCATGATGCTGTATGACTGAAATCATGACATCTATCCTGTAAGTCAACTTGAATTTTCTCTATTGAATTTTTTCTTTTATAATCTTGTAGATAATGTACCAAGTAAATTGGGGCCTGGTTATTATACAGAGCAGTATCCCATGACAACAGGTTCCATGGATTCACACAGTATTTCGGCCATGGCCATGAGTATGCCAGGTACGTCTTCTGGGGAGCATCAAGACATGTCAGGTCTTGGGGCTCTGGCCAGTGCATCATCATCCGCTAGCTATGCACCCATCTCGGGATATTTTTGTCCGGAGGAAAATTATCCAATGAAAGCTGAGAAACACATGCCACCCACCCCACCAGGTAGGAATCTCAATGTCGTAACCATGGTTATTCCACTCTCACTAATTGTATTTTTGAAAGAACTTTGCACTTGCACATTAACTATCACTTTTCTTTTGGTCATTAGTGTCATCTACTTTTTGAGTAATAATAACAAAAAACATCTACACAAACCTTCTATAAATCACATACAATTTTTATATTTTTTCAAATTTTGTCTTGTTCTCTCTTGTGTTAAGCTTTGGAATTTCTAAATGAAATCAAAGTAAAAGGTTCTCCATTTGATGTTTTTGAAGTTCTTGAATACAATCCTCCATATTTCGACTACCCTTCCTCCTCAAACAGCATACAGTGATGTTTAGGTTCCTGAGTCCTGTGTAGAGCACCACTTCAATAGATTACTGTGATATTCAATTTTTCAGAGCTGTTGCAGACAATATTTTCTGATATTTTCTTCCTAAACTTTTCTATTTCTATCTTTAGGAAGTCCAGAGGAAGTATTAAACATGATGCAGCAGGGTGGTTTGGGAGGTATGGCAGCTCTACAACAGAATATGCTGGCTAAACCAGTACCAATGAGAAGACTCTCAGAAAAGAGAATAGCCCAGGCTAGAGCCAGTCTGAATACTGCTGGTTCTATGTTTTCTGATGGTTATATGGATCCTTCAGTCAATCTTTGTAAGTAGAATATGTTTTATTTTAGGACACTTGATGCCACTACCAAGTTTGTCAATTTGGAATTAATGTTTTAATATTTTCTGTGGTAAACAATTATGGGGCACTGGTTCCCACCTTTTTAATTTCTTTCGTGATATACAGTAGTGTATGGAGGATTTCACTGACAGGGGAGTCCATCTGAGTGCTTTTGAAAGTGAAAGTAGAGTGAACTTGACATGGCACAAAAGTTTTCCCACTGCTGATAGAGATTGAACCATAACCCCTAATTTTTTTGATTTACAACTGTTAAGGGATCTTTACTGTATGCAGTCTGTGGTACACTGGGCTGACTTGAAATGAGAGTCTTCTATTGTAATATCAACTGTGGTAATGGAAATATCCCAATCCAAAAATATATCAGACAATCAGATCTGGGATTTCAAATGTCAATCAGGACTGTTTTATTCAAGATACCTGGCGTCCATTGTGTTGTATTATGAAGATATTTTATTTAATCTTGAAGGCACATATCAAAAGCTAAGATTAAAATTCTTCTTGTCTTCTTAATTACATTTCTAACTTATCATTTTTCTAAAAATAGATTTACAAAAGTTTGGTAAATGATATCACAATTATATCCCAAATTCCAATGGCAGACTAAAACTTTAAATGAAAAGTATTTGAAATAAAATTGGAAATGATATCTCCTAATTAACTAGAGCGCATCTTATGCTGCTGACATGTGTTCTGGACACACAATTCCTCAAGGACAGCACTTTTAGAAACAGGGATCAGTCCTCCAAATAAGATTTTGGCCTGTGGATGAGCAACCAAAGACTCAGAATTGTGTTCTATTAGTACCTTCTGCCTATTTTACTGGGAATTTCTGCCCTATTCATAATTATATGTGAGGTTTCTGTTCTCTTACTGTAATCTAGGCTAATGCTTCTGTACCCAATGTTATTGGTTCATTCGTTTCTAAGCTCTCAGGATGACAATAGTTTCTATTCATGTATACCCAGAGTTCACTGAAGCTTGAAATTCCTTATAATCATATCACTGACAATTTCTGACAAATTACAAAATTAGAAATTCTAAATTCAAATTCCTAGAGTCAAAAGTCTAAATTTAGTGTCAATAGATGTCATAATGTCATGCCGTTGTCATGTCAGTACATACAATATGACACAATTGCTCATTAAACTCAGCTGATTACAAGCCCAAGTTGAGGTTATGTAATATTATGCCATTCGGGGATAATGAACTTTAAAGGCTTTCTAAGAATAGAATTAGGTCCCTCCCCCTTTTAAAACCCCCTGTTGCATAGTTTCTGAAAGGATTTGAAAGTGACCACCATTATAAAGTTAAATTAGAGAGGGCAAATGTGTCATTTCACTTTCAGACTAGAATTGGGGAGTGTTGACTATTCAGAAGGATTTAAGACTAGAGCTAATATTTGGATTTTACAAATTATTTCTGTGAATGTTATTGGATTATGACTTTAGTGATCAGAGGTGGATTTTGCTTCAATAAGTAAAAGTGGACTTATTGTGTTTAATATTTGAATTGACACTGGTGACAGGTTACATCTAAAGCCAACATTCTCTTGCTGAAATAAAGTAAATTAGAAGCTAATAAGACAAAATATTGATTTATATACTTATAAAAAATAAATTATCAAGAAAATGGATTTCCGATCAGATCCCAGTTCCCCTGATTATTATAACCAATATTGTGCTGGTGGACAGTCTTCCCTGCCAACATCTCCAGGATTATCTGGCACTGGAATGTCAGGGATGTTTCCTTATCCTTCCATGTCTAATAATATGTCACAACTAGGTTCATATTGGGGTAAGGAGTTTAAAATAATAATTTGATCAAAAAGAGTAAATAGAAAGTTTAAAAGATAAAACATGCTTGAGAGTTATTAGGATATAATACTCCTTTCAGAGAGATTCATTTCTCAATTTTACAGGAATTTTATGGAATTTTGTAAAATCTAATAAATTTAATTCTGAAAGTGTTATTTACTAGCAATTAGATTGTTTAAGAAGTACCAGTGAATAATCCAATATTCCATTGATCTTGAGGGCCATATGAGCTGTATTATTGCATTATTTCAATTTGGAATCATTCAAAGTTTCCTCCAGATACTTAAATCATTGAAAATATCAAAGTAGCAAATAATTTTAATTTTAGAATTAGTATTGTTTGTAGGAAATTCCAAGTTTATTTTCTGAAGTTTTTTTTTAAATTTCAAACAAGCATTATGTTCCTATTATTGCTTTACAGTATTAAATGGTTACAGTGTTTCAAAACATGTCCAGCTTTGCAATGATTTGATTAAAATTTTATAAGATTTAAATACAAATCTGTATTTTCATATGCCAAGATGCTTATTCAATTTTGGCCAATTGTTGGATTTTAGTGCTTTGATATGAAAGACAACCACTGTTCATTCAAACAAACCCTCTGTTAGAAACTTGCCCTCCCTAATCTGTTGAAATCTCTGAGATTTTGACAGGTGGTTTTCAATTCACTTGCTATGAAGTTTGTTGACCCTCCAAATTCATTCACTTGATACAAATTATTACTTGACATTAGGTCATCCAGTTACATCATTCCTTCTTCATTTTCTATAAGAAACCCTGATAATCTCATCTACTGCTATCATTAGTTATGTAACATTTTGTAACATTGGGGTGTAACTAATGTAACATATTGTAACACAATCAGGTTGTTCACCCCAAACTTTTCTTCTCTGACTTGTAACATTTTGCAACAGACTAGAGATTTACAGCTAGTTCACACCTTTTTAAACAGATTAGGCCATTTTCAATAATAACTTTTGTCATTTTTATTTTCATTAAATTTCCATCAATCAGTGTTCTGTGATTCTAGTGTCTTATCAATAGGAGTTAACATCCCTCTGTCTCTGAGTTTTATTGGGTTATAAAAACTAACCAGGTGTAAAAACAGGAAACAAGGTGTTAAATTTTACTGCTTTACTTTACATTATATTTACTATGACATGCTATTGTGATACTTAAAATGTCATCATCAAGAGGAGATTAACTTATTTTTGAAGACTTGAGCCTAAAATCATGAGAAATCTAATTCCAAATCTCCCAGTCACAAATCTTGAAATTTCATTGCAATTATAAACTTAGGCTCATTATCCCATTACCTAGCAACCAAAACATTATCCAATTAGCTGATAGACAACAACTGTAGGATTATAATTTAATATTTCACAACAAAATGATATTTGATCACCAAAAACAATGCATATAAAACTATGATAGTGAAATTTCCACCTGTTTGTGATATATTCCCACTGAATAACTTAAATTTACTAATCTATTTTCAGCTGCTTCCAGCAACCCTGCTCTAGCTAGAGCTCTATCAGCAGTCACTAGTGTCCAGAAACGTCCCCGCAGTGAGAAAAAAGCCATTCCTGATGATCATAAAGATGACAAATACTTCGAACGAAGAAAAAGAAATAACAATGCAGCCAAAAAATCACGAGATTCACGCAAAGCACGAGAAGATGAAATAGCAATTCGAGCCAGCTTCCTTGAAAAAGAAAATGCCATTTTACGAGCACAAGTTGCCACATTACGAGAAGAAGCTAACTCACTACGACAACTGTTGTTACAGAAACGAGCTCGGCATTAGGTTGTTCATTATCATTATTTTGTCTTTTGTTTTGTTTATTATTATTTCATTTTTTGTTTTTTGCTTCTCTCTTGATTCTTAAAACCTCTATCCTGTTTGTTTCTTTTCTTTTTTTGGTTATAAAATTTGATACCTTGCTCTATATCCTGTCTGATGTAAGTTATGTATTGCATGTTAACATTATGTATAAGTGAGAATACTAGGGTTTTACAAGTTCAACATTTCAAATCAATAACTCAATTGTGAACATTCTCCATCATCCAAAATTTTAGAAATAAACCAACCAATTTCACAACCCTATAATGAAACACAAAAGAAATGTTTTCATTTTCAAATGCTTATATAATAAGTAAAGACAAAAAGAAGCAGTAGAATATTAAATGAGTTCATTACCCAAAAACAAGTAACTGCCAGTGTCTATCAAGTAATAGTAGTATTTTCAGAAGTGATGTGTCTTTCATTTTTTCAATAGTTTTCTGAGCAAGGTATCATATCAGATTGGTTTACTGCTGGCTATTGTAAATATTACAGCTGAGATAAACCACAATTTTTAATATCAATTTTTCATTTTTTATCTATATCATTAGTGCTTTGTCTGTAATATTAATTCAACCATATTTAATTTAATATTTTCAAACTTTCACTTGTTAAATTTTTTGGGATCTCTAAATGTATTGAGTTCTGAAGGCACCATAAACAGGCATGCAACTGGAAAAATTTCAATAAATCGTATGAAAACAATGGATTTTGTTTAAATATACATATGTAGTGTTTCCTATTTGATTAAACAAAATGAATGTTTTGGCTCAAGTTAAAATTTGCAAAAAGTGGGCTACATTTTTATTCATAATATGGTTTCTTCAAAATTCCAGTTGCAAGCTTGGAACATTTAATTTTTTTGTGTGTTTATTTTTTAAGAAAATAAAAAAAGTTTTTAATGTTTTAAAGGACTGACATCTACCAAAATGTATTATTTTATTTTTGATATATTTTAAATGTCAGTTGTTTTATTTAATAAAAAAAACTTTTCATTTTTTATCTTTTTTGAAGATTTGGTTTTTATTAATGAAGTATTTGTATATATGTCTAATGAAAAATACCTCATAAATGTAACAAATTTTACAAAAAAATATACAAGAATGTAATATAAAGACCTACTTGGTTTACTTACTTCTTCCGTTTCACTTTTGATTCTAGCCTTATTTTGTGTGGTGCATTTCATTTGTATATTTTCTCCTATTAGAGGAGGCTATTTTCTTCGCCAGTATTTGACAAAAATATAGTAAAGGCCATTGTGTGCATTTACAATTTTTGAGTTATAAAGAAATTCTATTGTTTTTATCCTGGCATGCAATTCCTGAGTTACTTTTTAAAGAATTTGAATTTTTTTTTTCAATTAGCTTTGAGATTTTGAAGAATTAATCATTAACTAAATATTCCCCTTATTCTGCCTTATCTACCTATTACTATGCAATCAAAGTAGAACAATCTAATATTGATAACCCAAAATTATAGGTCTACGTAATTTCAACACCTATACATACTTAGCTATGTAAAATTCTTATTGGGATTAGCGATTGGAGTTTCTTTTCACAGAATATGAAATTTATTTATTGATATTTTGTTACATTTTTAAGAATTCAACATTAACTAAATATTGCCTTATCTGTCTATGCAATCAACTCAACATTAAAGGTTTACATAATAACAAAACCCATTATATTTTGATTCCTCATTGGGATAAGTTTACATTATTTAAATATATTTATTCTCCACTAATTCTTAGCATGTGTACAAGAAATTAAATGATTCTGAACATGAAGAATATTTGTAGGTCAGGAGTAGTTAGTTCAGTTTGATGTGGCCTTTAATAGCTGTGATACAAATCAACAACTGGATTTAGTAGAGTTCATTGACAGGCCACAATAGATAACTGATATACTTGTATTTCTTCAAGGGATACAAGTCTCTAGTTTTACCAGCTTTGTAACGCAATCAGTTTTGAAATTAAAAGTTTTGGGTCATCTGTGCTTGATAATATAAATTTTCAATCTTTTTGCAACAGAAAAATTAGTCTGTGAAGTCAATTTCAAATTAGTGAGTAAAATTTACTTGCCAAATTTACTTAGAAATATACTGAACAATGTCTTTATAAATCGAATGGTGTTTGAGTATTTCATCTCACTATTAGGGTAAACTAAATTCTTAAACACCTTCATTCTGATCATGTGTTAAAAATGTTATATAATATCAATAACTAGATGAATATATACCTTCACTTTACTAGGACATGGCTGATTTACATGCCTTTATTTCTCAATAAAACAGACATAAAGATAGACACAGTCAAGATTAGCATCTGTTGTAATTTTCCATTCATTATACCATCTCAAATTGACATTCCATGGTCTGTATCAAAGGTGATTAAAAACTAGAATAATTCCATTACTGTTACCAAAATAGATATTTTGTTTACTCTGAATTTCATTGAGCCAGAAATAACTTTTTAATTCTCAGAAATGAGCTATTTTTGTCTCTTTAGATTTATATTAGTTATCTGTTTATAAACTTTTTACACCAAAATATTTCAGATTTGTTACATTAGTCTTGCTTGTTAAGAATTTTAACCAATTGATAGGAATGTATTTACTGTTAGAAACTCATTTGAATTCCTTTCATTGTATTGTTATTGAAGAGAATGCTGATAGTTTCAGAACACCTTTTATAACCTTGCTACTGAGTGTGCTAATCCTGTATTCATTCTGGAGAGTTCACATTGTCAGTATTGTTAATTTGGTCATAATTATTTATTTAGTAAGCCAATCTGGAAGTTGGACCAGATATCAGATTGGTAGTACTAACACCATATGGTGTTTAGAAGGAAGATAGATTGAAGAAAACTCTGGTAAATTGCACTATACATCAGCTGTATTTATAAACATAGTGAAAGTCTTACTTGTAAAATATAAGCTTTCACCTTTATTATGATATTAAGGTTCTTTGATATACAGAGTTTGCTTTTCTCAGAATGAAAAAAAAACATATACACGTACTAGTACTTTAAAGTTTAGCATTCTGGATTTTTTGGGTTTTTTTAAGCTTGATAGATACCCAAGTGTTAAGTTGTTGATGTAAGGTGATAAAGGCTCTGTTAGGATTGTAGGCTACTTTACTACACCCTGGTTGTATGGATTGTCTTAATCTTCCTACATAGGCAACAGTTGTAGTGTTTAATTCTCTGAAACCATGAAAACTTAAGATAATCATCATGAAATATAGGTGATGAAAAACATGTGCCCACATCCCACCTAATTTCTTAAGATTTGTATTAGTAGTTTTGTTGGTTTGGTACCATACAAGATGTGTATCAATCTGAGCGATAGTAACTCATTCTAGACCTCTATTGTATCTATTAATAACTTCCAGGAACTATATAAAGACTGAATTCCTGGCACTCTGAATCATTCTGATGTTTATTTCTGGCTTCTATTTTCACACTTTGATAAATTACTACGTAGAATATTTGTGGTTTACAGGATTGCCAACCGAAATATTTGTGAAGACTGGCTATTTTACAGAATGAACCAGAGTTAATGACTTTTAGAATCAGGCTGACATGGTCTGAAAGATTTTTAGACAAGAGGTTCTCTATTCTTTGGTTGGGAGGTAAAAAAGATGATGATTTGTTTTTGATAGGGTTAATTTTTATGTTGAGATGTTCCTAATACGAGTAGTCACAATAATTTCTAGCAGGAGGTAGGGGAGAAAAGTACCATTTTTGATTAAAATATAGCCAATTGTTGCCTGAAACTATCAGGTTGAAATTTACATAGACATAAAAATGAATATAGACTTCAAAATCCTTAAAAACCAAAATCCTAATTAACAGTAATTAATACATTAAAGACCAGTGTCGGAATAGATTACAGGCAGTTATACTAAGTATTAAGAATTCCATGGAATGAATGTTAAGACAGGACCATGTCATGTCATAGGTGTATTGGACCTTATTCTGTTCAATTTAAATCAAAGAGTTTATTATGTTAAATTATTATATTACCAGGGCCAGTGCCTGTATGGGTTATATTTTTTAAGAAAGGTAGATATAGTAAAATCAGACTAACTCTAGAAGTGAGAATTAAATAGTAAAACACAAGAGACAGGTGTCGATAGTATAGATATATACTAACATATCAAACTTACTGACTAGTAACTCAGAATTTAACATAAGATATCTCTGTATATATATGATAGGAAAATAAAAGTATGGTGCCAGAATATAAGATATGGGCTAAACTTGCTGAGTTTGAATGTTTTCAAGATAAAAATTGAAAGTTTCTATGATAAAATATAAATTTACTCAATTCTCTGATTTGTGCCACATGGACCTTTTTACAGCAAGTTTTATCATTAATTTCTTGGGTGAAATGAAACAGTTTGGGCAAAATCTATTGGTTATTATATGCAATATTATAGTGCAATAATTATCAGTCTTTTTCTACTAGTTTTTTTTTACCTGGCTTTATACTTTTACCTGAGTTACGTTAAGTATATCTACTCTGTTTTCAATTATTTCCCATATTTACTTCATTAAGAATAAGTTTCTTAATAACTCATTAAAATATACATACAATGCTTGATATTGGTAAACAGCTCCAGATGTACAGTAGATAGTTCCACAAATAGAATTCTTGAAGTTGATGCTCCAGAATTGAGATCAAATAAACTTACTTTGTATGGGGCATTATTATTCAAAAATAGTATAAAATTACCAGAGCTGGCAATGAGTTTGAAACTCCTTAAAACAAACATAATGTGAAACCATCATGGTCAGTTGTCTTGTTCTACCCTTGGTCAGCTTTTGACCTCCATATAAGGCAGGATTGCTGTATTTTTTCATATTATCTATGGTAATTATAACTTTCAAAGTTTAAAGCTATACCACTATACAAGTAATGAGATAATATGAACAAAAATTAAAATTAAATTAAACCTGTGTG